TCTGAATTAACGTAGCAGAACCGGAGATTCCGCCACGGATCTGGATACACCCTTGCAAATGCGCGCTGGTTGCTCATGAAGCGTGTTTGCTGAAATGGATACAGACGGCACAGGCGACATCTGCTGAGGCTGGGGAGAGAGCTATGACATGCCCTCAGTGCAGGACGCCGTACGAGATTGAGAGCCGGAATCCGAGACTCTTAAGGATCCTTTCGTGGTGCAGTCGACAGCTACCGACATTGGGGAGGGTATGTCTCTGGACAGGTTTCGCTGGATTTTTGGTGTCCATGCAAGCTGGTGAGTACATATATTACCTTTCTCTGTATATCTGTACTGAGACCAGCAGGAATATATGTTCTGCTCACTGGGTACGGTGCTCATGCGATCCAGCAATTCTTTGGACAAGAGTACGTGGACGACCTTTGAAATCCTTTCCCGTCTGACCATTCGCAGGATGTACGACTTTGTGCTCACTGACGACCCGGCCAACTGGCCAATAATGGCGTACATCCAGCTCCCTCTTATTCCCATCAGTCTCGTCGTCTCTCGATACGCCCACGTTTCCCCAATTATGCCTACCATCATTGCATGCTTTTCTCTCATGCCTCGAGGTATCTTTGCTCTGACCCACGATAGCAATTACGCGAACAACATACGCGTCGAGTCGTCCTTGTGGCCGCCGTCTCCATACGCATTCGCATGTGTTATTCTCCCCCTTACCAACGCTATATATCGCGCTTGCTTCGAGCGGTTCTCGTACCACATTCTTGGCACGACGGACCCGACGGAATACGAGGATAACCTCCGATTCGTGTTCAACGCTGATGACGAGCAGCGGGATCGGGAAGGCGAACAACCACCAGCACCAGCACCAGCCGATGTGCAAGTACCAGAGCCTAATCCTCCTGCTGTCGTTCCCGCTCTCCCGGCAAATGGTGACGTCGTTGGTCAGCAATTGGCTGATATCACCATTGAGATCAAGTCTCCCAGCCGCATTGGTCGTAGAATCGGAGGTGCCTTACTTCTACCGACGATCGCGAATAGGATGGGCTCTTTGCTCTTGATGCTATCAAAGCATTCATTGTACATGCGCAAGTTCCTTGGCGTGCGTCCGCCATGGCAGAGCCAAGTTCCGTTCCCTGTGACATGGCTCAAAACCAACGCTCAAGGCAGGCCGGTCGTTCCCTGGGGCCTGGTTTTGCGCGCCTTTTGGGGCGGCGTCAGTCCTTGGGCAGAGCTCGATCCTGTCTGGTGGCGTAACTCGATTGGGTTTGGGATCTTCATCGTGGTAAGTGCTTGTTCTTGATGTGTTTGGAGGTTAATCGCTGACGGTAATACAGGCCAAAGATTGTATGAAGCTTCTCTATCGCTGGTTGGTGAAGAGAGAAAGGGAGACCCGAAAAGTGAAGGATCGACCCTTCTTGGAGGTTGATGTATCAAATCTGGATCTTATAAAGGCAGGGGATGGGCAGGCATAGTTCTTTTGGTCTTGAATATCAATGATGTTAACCCTGTTTTGTAGTACTAGCTTTTTATAATGTTAATGCTCTCTCTCCTCTGGGTTGCGGTTCAGCCCTCTAAACTATCTAGCGTCACTTTTTTGAGTCGCCGCAACTACAAGGGTGTAATAGGCTTGGGTACGCCCCTGCCACATCTCTTTCGCTTAAGTACGCTGGTTGGAACCTGAGTCTCATGATTGTTGCTGATGACGGACTCCGTTATCATTCGTACTCGCGCTGAATTTCCTTTCGGTGTATTCCCGAATAAAGCGACTACTACGGCTAAAGCTTGGGAAACTCGGTAGCTTCTTGATTCCAAAAAAGGGTGCTTTCCCATATATCCTTTTCCGCCCGTAGCGTAGGATATAAATGACATGTCATAACTAAAAACAGAAGTATTCTACCCTCGTGAACTCCTGAAAGCGCCACCCAGAAAATAGCTTGGTTTTGAGACGGGTTTGATGCCCAGCATATAGCCAGCGTTTCCAGCTTAATTTTGAATGAACTTCAATGCAGCTGCAAGCTTCGCATGAGCTGCCTGTTCAGAACAGTATGGTTTCACACAGCAGACGGCCTGTGAACATAATATCAGAAAATAAATCATGGGAGTAAACTGTAACCATTTTTCGGACGATTAGATTGTTAAACCGAATTTTTATCCATTCATTCCGGGGACATACTGAAATATAATGGTGCACATACAAAAGTCCCACAAGTCCGCACGGTATACATCAACCACGGGTCCTGGAATAAAAGTCCAACATCGCCACTACTTAGTAGTGTGCATTCCAGCAAGAGCTGTCATAGTACTTCTTGCCGTCCTTGTAGTCCTTGTCACAGCCATCTTCCCAGGTAAGGATGTCGATGATCTCTTCAAAGATCTCGCAAATGAACTCCTCCGCGGCTTCCTCGAGTGAATAAACTACAAACTGGCTCAGATGCACTCAAAATGAAGCCGAGATGAAGACGTACCCTGGCAAGAGTTGCACTTGTCGTGGTCCACACAGAACTTCTTACAATCTGAAGGGGTAGACGTAAGCAAAAACAACCGCAGAGGTGGCGGGGGCGCAATTACCAATCTCGAAGGTATCCTTGTCACACTTCTTGGTGTCGATGGGAGTATACTTTCCCTGCTTCTATCCATACCAGTCGTTGTTGTTCACAAAGACAGGCTCCCAAGTGCACTCTTTGTCATCGTGGTCATCGTGGTCAAAGTCTTTGTCCGTGGCCGTCCCAGTCCCTGGCTTGGACGCCGGCCTGGCGGGCGTTGACAGTACCGCAGAGGGCGGGGGCCACGAGGGCGGCGAGAGGAATGAGAGCAGCGACAGAAAAACGCATAGTAATTAGTTGGCTGAAAAACTGTTGTAGATAGGTAGGTAGATGATTACTGTGAGTTTTTCTAGATAACGATGGCCATTTCGCAGTCCTTTATGTATATTGTTTCGAACGGCCAGGCATGCCCTTGTTGCGTCAATGAAAAGAGCGTCACACAGGAAATATAATAGCACCCAGCCTAAGATGAGGAAGGTTTGTGGCTAAGTATGAATGACTCGGAGATCTGCCAAGCTCAGGTTGAATGGCCGAGTCCTAACCCACTACGGCATAGACAGCGAGGTCGCCCAAGAGGGATAGAAGGTGTTTCAGAGGAAGGAGGAAAGTATACTAGATGGCAAAGACATTTCGTACGCCAAGGTGAAAGTGAACTGTTGAAGATGGCCATGCGGATGAAATCTCGGGCTGTATTCTCCTACAAAGTGAGTTCATCAGCTAGCAGGCGGATAACTCAATGGGGTGCTCGACGTTCATGGCGGCAAAGTGGGCCGGATCTAGAGAATATCCCAGATCGTAAGTCAAAGTTGAATCAGTATAGTCTGGATATTTTGGCATCCAAGAGAAGAAAATGTTTTCTCGGCCGAGGTCAGGACGAAACAACACTCGTGGGAGAGTTGAACCTTGGTACGGCTTTTGCCGACAGGTCGATTGGTGTTCGACTACCAGGCTGATTTGAGGCTGATTCCTAGCATGTGCCTTTCTGAGACGAAATCATAGGTACCTGGAGCCTACAGCCTTGCTTGAAGGCTCCTACCAAATTTCGCATCGGAATACTATAGTAGTAATATAAGCATCATGCACATGGCTGCCTCTGCAGTGAGACCGCCCGTGAGTTTCTCTTTATTAATCAATTCTGTAGAGTATCAATGCATGCCCGTAGCGTCAGGGAGTATTCTTATGAGGCTACGGTTTCCCTGCTTTCAAATTTGAATTTGAATCCACTAAATCTTTTGCGAGGTCCTCATTGCTCATGTTCTCGTCGGTATTTTCGTTACCTGCGTCCTCTTTTTAACGTGTATAATCTATGCCATCAACGATGTCCTAAGCGCGTATTGAGGAATAAAATGGCCATTTTCATTTCATACAGGAACCAGATTTATACTTCACGTAAAATGGCAGCTACATCCTTGCATGATACTTGACATGTAGATCGAAACGTCAGCCCGACTCCATAGGCGACATTATGCTCATCTCGGCTTCATATGACTTATCATACAGTTCGCGGACTTGAGACCAAGCCGCATTGGAGCGTTCATCCAATCGTCCGGTGCCTGCAGATAGGCACATCGAAGCAAATATCATGCCAAGTTAACCGTATCCCACAGCTTGTGGTCTAGGATACCCATGAATGAAATCTCTTCCATGAAGACCACAATTCTGCATCCGGTCATTTCCAGCTTTCCGGGAGACATAGTCTCCATCATAAAGTTAATCAGCGTGCTCCAGCGTCTGCCAAATGCGACTGGGTCCACCATTGCGGACTCGGGAATCCCAGTGACATCTAGAAGCGCTCCCGGTACGAGTCACGAGTCCTTTTGTAGAGGTACTCGTACAAGGCTTTGTCCTCGTTCAATGGCATTGAACAAAATGTACGATCTGCTGAAGCAACAGAACTGAGAGAAGCGTGGCTGCAGGTCCAACGGTGTACGAATTTGTGAAGAGAGTACGTGTATTTGTTCCACCAGCGATGACAATGAATTTCGAGTCCGGAGGAAATAATCCTATAGCATATTCATCCCGGTCAACCCCATTCTGCCTGGGTTGAACAGCTAGCAAGGCTCAAATTCGGAGTCCATAGAGAACATCTACTACATGGCCTGCCAGATCCTGAACGATGGGTTAATGCTACATAATAATGAAAATATAGGGTACAAACCTTCTGGTAGCTCCTATAAAAATTAGCACCAAAAGCTTGTATCGAGCGAGTATCCTGTCGGCGCGCGTCTCGAGTTCAGCATGCCTCTATTGTCAGTTGGGGTAGGAGCATCCTTGGAGGAAAACATCCATCCAGGGCCCCAGGAACATGCAAGTAGGTAAATACCGGTATTAATACCGTGATCGTTGTAAGTAGCACCGAAGCCGGATGGTAAGTATTCCATGCGGAGCTTCCTTGATCATCATCTAAGGAAACCAGATCAATCCTAAGACATAGCTGAGTTATGCAGCCATGCCTCTTTGGCTCAGTCGGTTAGAGCGCAAGTCTCATATACATAACTATTATCATATGTGTATCTTGAGGTCCAAAGTTCGAATCTTTCAAGTGGCACGGTTGTTTTTCGTTGTACGAACCTATTGCTTGACGTCATAGCCGGCCACCGGATCGGATCACTCCACGCATGCATTGCACAATTATTCTCCTCATTCATATCCTTTCTTCGATGTTCGGGACGTAAGGTTCCCCGACGCTCGCTTGCCCGCTCAGGCAAAATACATTAGTCATGTGCGGCTTTCGCCCCGTGGTAGCTCTTACTCGGGCATGTCCCCCTCATGGTCTATGACAATTCTTCATTTTTCTTCGGCGCAACTGCTCAGAGCTATAGACTGAGGAACTGGCATTTGGTGATACCTTTCTTTTGCCTTTTTCAGTCGCTATCACGCCTTCCTTTTTTCTTTCCTATTTTCGCCCTAAACTTTATTGTCGTTTGGTAAGATACGCAGTTTCACCATGATCCTTGAGACGTGGTCGTTCGCTTACAGTGTACATGGCATGCGGATAACGTGCGCTGGGGAGCTGTGAATTAAACCAATGCGCTGTTATTACTTCTTGGCCGGCTCGATCGGTCATTTCATGTTGGTTAAAAGAGAAGGCTTACTTGAGGCATCTGTACTTTCCTCCTTCCTTCCTCTCCAACATGGATATCTCTCTTCTACGCGCGGTGACCGTTGCCGCCTTTGGTTTTTCTCTTCTAAAATCTGTTTTTGCTATCTCGCCGACGTTCGCTTATGGTACAGACAAAGTACGAGGCGTCAACCTCGGTGGATGGCTCGTTCTTGAAGTATGCTTTATTTTATTTTATTTTCTTCCTTCCAAGGCATTTTAGTAACAGCGATATCTCTAGCCTTGGATTACTCCATCTCTGTTCGAAAACACGGGTGATTTGCGTCCTATTCGGTGTTGCATGAACTCGCTCTGAATCCTCACTTTAGGTATATCGACCATCGTTGACGAATGGACATTTTGCGAATATCAGGACGCCGATACGGCGAGAGAAACGTTGACGAAACACTGGAGTACCTGGATTACTGAACCCGACTTTGTTGACATTGCTGCTGCGGGGTTCGTGCCGACTGGTTGTCCTCTTGCTAATATTCACTGGGCTGATAGTCTGAATCATGTTCGTATACCTATCGGCTATTGGGCGTTTGACGTTGCGCCCGATGAACCGTACATACAAGGTCAAGCGGAGTACTTGCAGAAGGCAATAGGTTGGGCTGCAGCATACGGCCTTAAAGTCATTGTGGACCTGCATGGTACGTCTCGAATAGTTTCATGACTCGTGTTGATCACATGTTCTGCTGTAGGAGCTCCCGGGAGTCAGAACGGGTTCGCTACTTTCATCGGCGTTGATCGTTTCTCGTTTTCCTACTGCTGATATATGCGTAGATTCGATAATTCTGGTCAGAGGATGTCGTACCCGTGAGCTTGCTTCTTTTTTATTTGGAGCGCCTTCATTGAGAGGGAATATCGGCCAGTGGATGGCACTCGAATCGCTCAAATATCGAACGGAGCAACGACATTCTCTACAAGTTGGCTTCCCTGTTTGCAGATAATGTTGCCATCATTGAACCATTGAACGAGTTGAGTCCTATATATCAATCATGTCACTACCATGAACTGATTGGATTAAGACCAGCTGGGTTTTGGGGCAATGATGTCCTGCAAGTCGTAAAGCAGGTGAGCATCATTTCTTCGCTGATACACTGAAATCTCAATTTCTTACTAGTATTGGGATGATAGTTATGGTGCCGTTCGGTACAGTGACGCACTACTTGCTGATAACACTCAATCTCACCATTCCTTCTCCAATTTCGACAGATCGAAACAGACGAACGCCGTTGTTTTGATCCATGACGCTTTCCAAGATCTTAGCTATTGGAAAGACTTCATGCGACCTGAGGACAATTATGACGGTGTAGCCATAGACACGCATATTTACCAGATGTTCTCCGACGCGGTCTGCTCGAGTCTCCCCAACCGCACAGTAAAGTGTTGTACTCATATGTATCTAGGAGGTCGCACGGTCCGACGACGAGCATATTGCCGCTACGTGCCAGGAGGGATCGTTGTTGTCTTCCTTCCATCTCTGGACCATCGTCGGCGAGTGGACGTCTGCCCCTACTGATTGTGCTAAGTACTTGAATGGAAAGTCCTCCGCATCTAGTCCATTGTTTACCAGCTGGACTGAATTACGTTGCAGGACGTGGGGTTGGCGCACGCTATGACGGCACTTATCCTAACAGTTCCAGGGTAGGTGACTGCCAGTACAAAACAGGATCGGCATCGTCCTTTAGCCAAGAATACAAGGACTTTTTAAGGAAGTACTGGGAGGCCCAGGTACGTGATTGAGTGCGAGACTTAGCGGTGAGAGTAAGGCTGACATGACTGTAGGTAATAACATACCAGAAGGCCGCCGGTTGGATACTGTGGACCTGGTTGGTTGATTCCCATATATTCTTCAGCAGTCCACCTATTGATGTCGATACACAGGAAAGCTGAATCTGCGGACGATTGGAGCTATCAAGCTGGTCTTGCGAACGGTTGGATTCCTCATGACCCTACAAATCTCCTATACCCTTCTATCTGTGAATAGATTCTGCTCGTTTGAGGTCTTCTCGTCTTTATATTAGATTTTATTATTGCGTGTGACCGAAATTACCTACATGGCCAGCCTATTCGTTTCACGATACCCCACGGAACGTGTTTATCTGTTGTGGTGTCAATAAACGATGACACCGACAATTCAGGGTGCTCCCTTAAACATCAGAGCCGTCTAGGTTCGAAAACCAGAGACCATGCAATCACCTAATAGTTGACTGTAAAGAGGTGTCATGGTGTACTTAGCAGGGACACGATACGTGACCAGATTCAATTCCTGAGGACGGCTGGCAGGTTCCGGGAATGGTTTTGCCCTCAAACAGAAAGGAACATTCAAACCGCATGTTCAGCACAACGTACATGTCGCTTGTTGCCAACTTTACACAACTGCAGAGTCTCAGTCTTATGTTACAGCAATACATTCGCGAAACCAAAAGACAACAAAAGATGATAAAGAAATCGTTTATCGCTTTCCAGCAGCGGCCTTCTGCTTGGCAGCCAGCTCCTGTGCTTTCGCTATGAAGTTAGAAGGTAAGCAATATACGAGATAAATATATTGGACCGGCAAGCACCTTCAGCCTCAGCCTTCCTCTTGGCCTGAGCAGCTTCGCGATCCGCTTTAATCTTTGCGAGACGAGACAGATCAGCCTTTGCTTGATCGGTCTTTCCCTGGAGATGTAACTGCCAAAAAAAAAAAAACTGTTCATAAATGAATACTTGAAGATAAGTAAATCGTACCTTCCAATACTGGTCCTGGGCATCCTTCTTCTCTTTGGCTTCCCTTTCACGACGGCTGAGCTCCCTCGGCGCACCAAGGTCAGATATGTTGAGTTTCTTGGTAATGTGGTTAGGGTTGATGAGGTCCTCGTCTTCTTCTTCCTCCGCTTCGGCTTTCTGTTTCTGTTTCTGCTTCTCGGCAGCTTGCTTTTTCTTGAGTTCTTTGCGCTCGGCGCGACTCAGCTCTGGTTTGTCTTCGTCCTCATCTCCCTCTTCATCTTCATCTTCCTCCTCTTCCTCCTCCTCGTCTTCTTCTGAGGATTCCTCTTCCTCTTCTTTACGGGCGCTAAGGTGATCGATCTTTCAGATATTGGAAATGTGTAGCGACGGATAGAAGTGCGTACCGTGCGGCAGATACGGCGGTACCATTCTCATCTAGAATCATGTCCTTGCTATGGATCATTAGCGGCGTAAATACACCAGGATATACGGGCTGGCACACCTAAAGTTCCTGCCACCGCCTCGCTTCTGCTTAAATTTGCCTGAAGGTGAAGGAAATGGTATCAGGGACCGCATAAAGAGCAATGAATGAATTCCATACCTGTTCCCCGAACCATGGTCGTCAATGTAAGATGAGGATAAGATGAGGGTCGATTAAAGAGTGATTGCGGGACTTCAAACTGTCGGACTTTGATTCGTTCTTTGCCTGCTTCCGGCCCGAATCCGACCAAAAAATCCCCAAATGAGAGCACCTTGAAGAGAATCTTTTTTCTTTATGAAAAAAGCTTCTTTTGGACATCGATCTACTATTTTTCCGTACATAATATTTCTCGTGGGAATCTATACCCCAATCCGTCCACCGGTCCCGACCGGCGTCATCGAACTGTGCTTGCAACCATGTCATTCACGATCCCAGCACGTCTCGCGCGACCCTCTATTCGCTCGCAGAGCCCCGTTGAGGCCCGACAGCGTGTTATCCAGCTCTACCGTGACTGGTGCCGCGGTGTACGTCCCTTTGCCATCCGTTTTTACCCTAGCAATGACCTCCACCTAGGCCCCGGAAATCATCTCCCTCTACGCCCTCAACGTCTCGCCTGCCTACATACGTTATTGCATCCGTCAACGCTTTGAGCGCCATCGGCACGTCACTGATTCCCGCGCCATCGAGGTACTGCTCTTGAAGAGCAGGCAGGAGTACCAGGAGACGATGAACTGCTGGAAGCTCCCGGATCAGGTTATGGGTATCCTCTTGAAGCCTCAGGAGAGGACAAAGAAGACGTTTTTGCAAAAGTTCTATGAAGGTGCGTGGTTCGTTGATTGTTTGGAGCTGGTTTACTTACTGTGCTGTAGGTGGAGACGAAGAGGCGCTTATACCAGCTGCGTCTGGCGTTGTGTAGAATCACGATTGAAGTCGATGATGCTTTTGAATGAACGCTCGAAATCGTTAGACAACGAATAGATGTGCGCACGAGGACCATCAGTTCTGAATGTGACCACTGCGAGGGTCATCTCTTCGATTTGGGCGTTACTCCGATTTTCTAGAGAGACCTCCTCAGCATGAATGCGAGGAAGCTTCGGATTGGTAGCCATCAAAGCCAGCATAGTGGATTGCCTGCCAATAAGCTCGAATCACAAAGGTGAATCATGCGGTGATCTTAACTTGTGCCAGGACGGCAACGACTTGTGCAGATTATAAAAACGGGCTTAAGCACGCACTGCCAATGTCAGCTTCC